CCAACTCTCTTGACGCAGAGAAAATGGTCCTATACATTTGCTGAAAGGCTTCTTGGCATTCACTGCTGGTTAAACTTTGTGCTCATCTCAGAGATATAGAGCTGTTTTGTCTTCAAGCTATGAATTATCTTGTCTTTGGGGATGTCTTTTCAATCTTACCCTGTCTCCTGTGCGGAAAATACACTATAGAGCTGCAAGAGGTCTTCTCTTATACACTTATTTCATGGTAACTATAAAATATCTAAGAGATTAAAAATGAATATAATAAATACCACCATCACACTGAAATAACGCCAATATTGTGGGTTCTTAAGATTTTTTCCTTCAACTTTTCACCTATGGGAAAGCTGAAAGAATGGTAAAATCAACAGAATAATAAATTGTACATCTGTAAACCAATTGCTGACATTTTGTAACATTTGCTTTATCTCTTTGTATACATTTTACCTTTAACCTCTGGAACATTTTATCCTTAATAATTCAGTTGGTCTCTCCTATAAAAAGAGGACATTCTCGTACATAATCACAAATGCCAGCATTATAATCAAAACAATATTATTATCTAATATATAATTCACATTCAACTTCCTACAGCTGTCCTAAAAGTGTCCCTTCTAGATTTTGACTTTTTCTCCTCTGGGACAAAATCAAAGATCATGTTGTTGATCAACTTGGTTGTCAGGTCTCTTTAGTCACTTTTAAAAAGGCATCTCCCCATGAGAGACTATGGACTCCGAGAAACAAACTGAGGGTTCTAGAGGGGAGGGTGGTGGGGGGACAGGTTAGCCCGGTGATGGGTATTAAGGAAGGCACGTATTGAATGGAGCACTGGGTGTTATATGCAAACAATGAATCATGGAACACTACATCAAAAACTAATGATGTAATATATGGTGACTAACATAACATAATAAAATAAAATAAAAAATAAATAAAATAGGCATCCCCGTCATCAACTTATCTATAATGGTTTTCATGACTTTGATTTTTTGAAGAGCCCAGGCCTGCTGACCGGTTAAATGGCCCACAGTCAGAATTTCTGCATTATTACAAGTTAAATATTTTGGTAAGTATACACTGTAGATGATGTGTAGGTAATGCTCCTAGTACTTTCTCTGCCCTGGATCTGGAAGAAGTAATTTTTGCCCTGTCCCTTCTATTGAGGAATAACCTTTAGAAATCAAATACTCTGCAATGGGATTGCTCACTGGTAGGGGAAGCACCACCTACAAGGAAAATAAAACATTTAGTTGGTTTTTTAATTGTTTCCTAGACCTTTCCATGGATAGAATTAGGAACTACATCACCTTTAAATTATAAGTTCATACTGATACCTCCAATTCAAATCAAAACAAATTTCTTCCTCATCTTTCCCTGTTTTGTTTTTTATTATTATACTTCCCTTCTCTTAGTAGGAATCCTGGTTCCCCACAATATTGGTGAATTCACTCATTTGTCTCTTCTATAGTATATTACAAAGGTTTCAGGAGTACGACATGCACTGAAAACATTACCAGCAACCAATCTCCCAAGTGAACTTCATCCTCAATCTCAGTGAGCCTCATCACAGTAACACTACTAAAATATAAAGACAAAGAGAAACTCTGAAAGACGACCAGACAAAAAAGACATTACTTCCAAAGAAGATTTACAAATGGCCAATAAGTGCATGAAAAGATGCTTACCATCACCAGTCATTAAGGAAATGCAAATCAAAACCACAGTGAGGTTCTACTTCACATTTAACTAGGACGCTATACAGGGAGGAGGAGGAGGAGGAAAAAAAGTGTTGGTGAGGATGTAGAGAAATTGGAACCCTTCTACATTGCAGATGTAATATAAAATAGTACAGCTGCTGAGAAAAACAGCTTGACAGTGCCTTAAAAAATTAAACGTAGAGGGGCGCCTGGGTGGCTCAGTCGTTAAGCGTCTGCCTTCAGCTCAGGTCATGATCCCAGGGTCCCAGGGATGGAGTCCCACATCAGGTTCCCTGCTCGGCGGGAAGGCTGCTTCTCCCTCGCCCACTCCCCCTGCTTGTGTTCCCTCTCTCGCTGTGTCTCTCTCTGTCAAATAAATAAATAAAATCTTTAAAAAAAAAAATTAAACATAGAATTACCATATGACCCAACAATTCCACCTCTAGGTATATGCCCCAAAGAATCGAAAACAGGAACTCAGATACTTGTAGGCCAATGTTCATTGCAGAATTATTCACAAGAGCCAAAATGTGAAAACATCTCAAATGTCCATCGACTGATGAATGGACATACAAATGTGGTCTATCCATACAATGGGATATTATTTGGCCATAAAAAGGAATGAAGTTCTGATCCAGGCTACAACATGGATGAACCTGGAAAGCATTATGCTCAGTGAAAAAAAGCCAGACACAAAAAGAAGAATATGGGGTTTCTACGGAGCAAATTCATGCAGACAGAAACTAGATTAGAGGTTACTAGGGCCTGATAGGAGAGAGAGAGGTGAGAATTTTCCAGTCTGGTAAGTTTGAAGTCATAATTTATTTCTGTATACAATACTTTGATTCTAAGTAAGCTTGAGGATCTATCCACATGTTTAGTGGTAATTCCTGTTTACTCTGATGTGAATCACCTAGATTAAATATTGCCATTTTTATTGGGTTTTCTTTCTTATTAAGCAATGAGAATTCTTTATTCCTTCTGGATCCCATTAGACAAGGTCAGCTATGCTACAGAAAATAAAACAGATTCTAAAATCTCAGTGGTTTAACCAGTGACCACAGATTTCTCGTGACCACAGAGCACAATGTGGTGTGAGCAGCTTTCTTCAGAGGTTGTCCACCAAATTACGATCCAGTGAGCCAGGCTGCTTCCATATTATAATTCAGCAATCTATAACTTGTACATTCCGAGTTCATCACAGCATGGGAAAGAGAGTTGAAGGGTGTCTGCACAGAAAGCAGTTAACACAGCGTGAGACTGTTGTGCTCAGAAAGGCTGCTTGCAAGATGGGCCATTGGCTGCCATCTGGGGACTTGGCTGGTAAAGTTATCTGTGCAGATACCAACTTTTCCCAACTAAGAAGGATGGTTCACTTTGCCTAGACTGTTCATGCAAACACATAGTTTATGCTGAACACCAGATTTCCTTCTGGGAAACTACATTTTTAGTATGTAGTGGGCAGTGAGTGCCCATATGAACAGCCCCCAATAAAACCTTGGCCATTAAGCCCCTAAGGGGCTCCCGTGGCAGAAACACCATACCCATGTTGCTACCTTTTTGCCGCTGGGGGAAGTGTGAGCTCTGTGTGACCCCTCCACGGAGGAGGAGAGCCTAAGGACGCCTGCCTGTGGATTCCTTCAGACTCCACTTGTGTCTTTTCCCCTTGTGATCTGCCACTGAATAGTTACTGTATCACTAATAACTCTTAGCCCTGACTACAACTAGATGCATCTCCCATGAATCCTTTCAGTGAATCTCCAAACGTGGGCGTATACTTGGGGACCCCCAACACAGTGCCACAGGATAATTTAAAAGGCAAGGCTTGGAATTGACTTAAATAATTTTTACACACTTCCCATTGTTCAGAACTTGGTTGTAGGTTCCCAACTCCATAACTGAAAATGACGCTGGGAATTGCGAAGCAGCCATGGGGATTTGGTGGGCAGGAATGGCGTCTGTCACACCGATTCTTTAGCATTGGTTTGCACTCCTCGTGTCTTTTCCTTTTCATTTTTATGGTGTGTTTTGACGTAGAAGAGTTTCATGCAACCGGAATTACAGTTTTCTTTGTGGTTTGTGTTCTTCTGTGTCTCCACTTAAAAAAAAAATCCTTCCTCAAATAAATGCTTAAAAATAGTTTTCTTAATTTATTCTGGTAAAGTTTAAGTTTTACTTTTCATAATTAAAAGTAGACCTGAAATAGATTTTCATATGAGGGATGAAGTAGAGTTCCAGAACTAAGAGGGAGGGGCATATGTTTAGTGAAGAAATAGCTTGTAAAAAAAGATTCCAAGGGAAGAAAAGAACATGGCGCATACAAGGAAATAACTGAATGTGTGTGAGTGTGGCTGGGGCACAGAGAGCCGGGGAGACTGGGCAGGGTGATGGTGGAGAGACGGGGGGAGGGGCAAACATTACAGGACCTTGCAGCGCTATTACCTCACAGAAGAAAGGCAGCCAGGAGCAGAGACCGTATGAGTGATGGTCTATGACTTGTAAGTTGAAGGGTAGAAGAGGCTGGGGAAAGGAGTAAGGAGTAAAGAAGTCACTGAAACCCAGAAGGCAGAGAAGAATGTGGGGGCTTTGAGATTATCAAGGGAATCTTCATGTATCTCAGCTAAAGATGCATTTTCCTTCTGCGAGTGGAAAGAGAGGCCAGCAGAAGAGAGAACCAGCAAGCTAAGGATGTTGCAGTGATGTCCAGTCAGGCTGAGACTGGTGTAGGGATGGACTTCAACCCTGAGGGTCATATTGCCCACTATCGTAAGGCTCCCATGCTGGCAAGAGTTCTGTGGCTCCACCAGAGGCAGGGCCTTTTTGGGGCTCGGACCAGGCCTCGTGAGTCCAAGGCAACTCAGTCTAACTACGCTTTATGTGCAAAGAGGAGGCAGCTGTGCAGTGCTGTGGGTTAACTGTTGGCACAGAAGTACACAGATGTCTGGGAGGAGGCAACAGATAGCAGTGTGAGTTGGAAATCCTCCATATTTGATCTAGAGACATTGTACCCATCGGAGACTTCTCCTTTTTCAATGCGGCCAATATCGATTGAATAATAGATCAGCCTCAGCCCATGTCCCAGGTCTTGTCGATACCAGTACATATAGTCATAGTTCTCTGTCTGGTGACATCTCAGAGTCACCTTCTTTCCTGTCCTCGCTATCTCGTATCTTGGACTCTGGGTGATTCCAGCATCCATGTGTCCTGTAATAGAGAGTGACACAGACCAATGCTATCATCTTGGGAGGAAGGCTTGTGTTGAGGTCTTGGGAATTCCAGGGAAGGAAGCCCGCCTGTACTCACCTGCCTGCAGGAGACAAAGAGCCACACAGAAGAAGAGCCTGGTGGCCATTTCAGGTGAAAGGCAGAATTTCATGTCTTCTACTTTTGTTTTGGGGAAATAGAACTTGGGCTTCCAGTCACTCAGTGACATCACTGTCCTTGACAAATGCTTGAGCTGCAGAGCTAACCTGCCATACCCCTTTCCCCACAAGAATGAATCATTTTAATATATACAAAGCTGAATGTCTCAGAAGGGGGAGAATTTGTTAGTTTGCTTTTTGAAGAAATCTTATAGGTATATATACTTCTCCTCTACCTTTTAGTAAGGAAACTTGTTCCTCCATGAATAATGATACAATTCCTTATTTGCATCCTGTTACAATTTTTTCATAATATTTCTGTAGACTAAGAAATACTATTATGATGTCCTGGTTCTTTGGTGACTTTTCTGCTCAAAATTTGCCTCCAAATACCTTTTAGTTTTTCTCTTTGCCTTAACTCTGGATAATTGGATGTTCAGCCTACAGTGATTTTCTTGTTTAAAATAACCATGTCCAGAAAGTTTTCAAAGTCTCAAGGTCAGGGTCGTTGGAATTTGAAGAATTATTTTATGTTGTCTCACAATGCCCTGACTGACGGGAACCCTGCCGTCTGTACTCAGGTCTTTATGTTCTCATGAGTCAGATTCCTCCCCTCTGTTTCAGACAAGGCTATGGAGCACCAGGCCACATTAGTTCTATGATTCTGCTTTCCGTGAAAAAAGAGGAAGCTCATTAGCAAGGTGGATGAGATATTCCTCCACGGGTTTACATGGAATTGTTTTGTCTCCATTCAGAAGGTCTTGCACCCACCCAATGGGTGAATATAGATTGAGCCATACATTTGCTCTAGTGTCAAACTTACAGCTAGTCAATATCAGTCCACACTGTTATTTCCTAGGTAGGTCATATCTCAGCGTGAAGCTTCTCTATTTCTGTGGCTGCATTCTTGACATACTCTTCCTTGGTCATTCCTACAATCACACAGCAGTGAGAAAGGACGTGGAATCAGAAATCGGACACAAGGAGTGCCTCACAGAAAGGCTTGTGGCTGGGGCCTGGCATACCCAGGAAGTACTCTCCCCTTATGCACAGGACTCACTTGGTCCCAGGAGACTAAGAACCACACAGCAACTAAGTCTACTTCCCATGGCTGGGTCACTACAAAAAAAAGGGGGATTTATTCAGCTAGGACTCACATTCTTTGGGGTAGGGTACATGGGATCTCAGAGATCTGAGGATTGTTCTCATAATAAAGTATGATCTACCCAGAGTATCAATATCCTTAACGATACCTAATTTCTTTAGGGAGATAAGCATTTACCAGGAATATTTCTTTGTAAATTTATTTTTAAATTAATTATTGATTCACAAATTTGTCACAAAATTTGCTAAAAACATAGACCTCATCTCGAAGCTTTGTCTGTTTTTGGTTTTGTTTTGTTTTGCTTTTTTTTTTTTTTTTTTTTGCACTGGTGTTTCCCAAACACCTGGAATACTTCCTACACATGGTGAAGAGTGAAGGGTGGGCTGGCCATAAAGTCAATGACGAATAACTTCAGGCCTTTCTCATTTGCACAGGACCTTTCCAAGACTTAAAAAATTTTTTTCTATTGTCTTTTTCAAATAGCACCCTAAAATTTATAAGGTTTAGGCTCCATAAAACCTGGATATGCTCTGCACATGTATTCAATAAATGTTTGTTGAATTAATGAAGAAAATTCAGGCAGACTCTACTTTTGTAAACATAACCCTAGTCTGTTCAGTTACAAATAGGTTTGGAGCATTAAGGGAGCAGAGACCCATAGGAGTCTGTTGGGGATTCAAAATAAACCAAAACAAACTGGGAAAAGATTCATTCATATATGTTATTATAAGACTTGGAGAGGATGGGGGCGCCTGGGTGGCTCAGTCGTTAAGCGTCTGCCTTCGGCTCGGGTCATGATCCCAGGGTCCTGGGATAGAGCCCCGCATCGGGCTCCCTGCTCGGCGGGAAGCCTGCTTCTCCCTCTCCCACTCCCCCTGCTTGTGTTCCCTCTCTCGCTGTGTCTCTCTCTGTCAAAAAAAAAAAAAAAAAAGACTTGGAGAGGATGGATGGCAATATGAATGAAGGAAAAATCATGGTCTCTTCCAAAGGGAAGGGTCTTTCAATGGTCACCTTATTCCATAGCTGTCAGAGAGCAGAAGGGAAGAGGGAAGAGGGAAGGAAAGAACCAGGATAAAGGAGCAATATTGAGGATATGCAGGGGCATCAGGAGATGGAGTCCATTGGGACCTTCTGAGAAGCCTATGAAATGCCTCCTTGAATTGTCCCCCTGAATGCAGATCCTGGAGGTTTCATGTCTTGGCTCCTGTCCCGCCAGGAGCATTAGCACGCCTGCAGCTAGACCTATGATATCACAGACAGCCCTGGGGCAGAAAGCCCAGGGATCAGGGCATGTGTGTGAGGGGCACGCCGTCAGCACGAGGTGAACGGAGGCAGACTTGCGTGAAAATACTGTCCACAGGGCGCCTGGGTGGCTCAGTTGGTTAAGCGACTGCCTTCGGCTCAGGTCATGATCCTGGAGTCCCGGGATCGAGTCCCGCATCGGGCTCCCTGCTCGGCGGGGAGTCTGCTTCTCCCTCTCCCACTCCCCGTTTGTGTTCCCTCTCTCGCTGTGTCTTTCTTTGTCAAATAAATAAATAAATAAAATCTTTAAAAAAAAAAAAAAAAGAAAATACTGTCCACAGCAGTGGACGGTGAAATCAGAGGTGGGACAGAAGGCCCTAGAGGCTCTACCATGATGAACTCTTTTGAATAAAACTGTACCTTCCTTTATCAGATCTTCTGTGTGATCAGCTGCAATGTTCTGGAAGCCCAGCACCTTCTTGCATATCAGACTTAATATCAAACAAAGAGTGCTGTCATAAGCCTCATTTTCTCATTCCCATAAGAGGCAACCGTTTGCAGTTAATTCACATAATACATTATCAGATGACTGTATTTACATTTCAGATGACTTCGTGTCTGGAACATAGGTGAGTCAGGCAAAAGTAATCCATGCCTGCCTTTGATCCCAGAATTGCACCCAGTAAATAATTGTGCTAGGCCAGAGCTTTATCAGAGTTAACAAGGGAACCAAGATTTCTTGGGCCTAATCTTTGTGTTAGGCAGTTTGTTTTATTTTCTTGCATAAAATCGCTGCAAGACACATATTATTGGCCTTAGTTTACGAGTGGGAAAGCCCAGTCAAATATTTCCCAGGTCACCAGTCCGAGGCAGGTCCGAATATGAACAGATGGAAATCTCAGAAGTCCTCTTTCAGCAGGTAGCCTCCCTGCGCAAGCGACTGTGTCAGGGCCCGTGTTTCTGGAAGGCACTTTTGAGTCAGTGTTCCAATTGTGAAGATGCCTTCCTCTACCAAAATGTGGAAGGGGGTAGCAGTTAGGTCCGCGTGCGTCCCATATCTGTGAGCTGCGCCTCCTTCAGCAAATCATCTACATTGTAACAAAGGGTGTTTTCACCTGCAGCATGGATAAATTGTTTGATTTCACGTGGGGGCCCGAGAGAATTAATCGAAATAATGTACTTAAGTATATGGCACAGAGAAAATGAGCCATAAATAAGGGAATTTTCTATAAGTTCCCAGAAAAGGAATAGAATTAAAACCGTGTGTGTTCACTCATAAGCTTGCACCTGCCACCAGAAAATGGCTATGTTGCACATGTACTTAGCTGTGGCTCTCTGCTGTTTTCTGCAGTTATCGGCCCGGGCAGAAGTAGCAATTTCAGCTTTTCTGATGGAAAGTGCTAGACGTGAGAGCGGACTGCAGCCTCCTCCAGAACGTCCAACGGTTTAGAAGCACTAGTTCCCGTATTAACTCCCATTCTGCTTGAGATCCCCAGGGGGCTCCTGTTTCCTTGGCTGAATCTCCGGTAGACTGGAAACCCCCTAGTCCCTCAGCTCTTGCACTGGGGGATACCCTGGCCCCACCCTAGTGGAACTGTGACTGGGCAGACACACATTCTCTGGCTTGCAGCTAGTTCTAGAAGTGGGCAGGCAATAGGTATGGTAGCCCGACAACGTGATGTATGACCTCCCCACCACAGATCAGCCAGTCCCGAGATGGAAGACACAGTGGTTTGCAACATCTTGTTGGTCAAGGACCAGGAAACCCATGCAATTTTAGGGAAATGTTGATTTCAGAGGCATGGAGACCCGGATTTGATTCCTGCCTCTGAGACTTTAGGAAATCTTTGGAAAGTCCATGAGCTACTGTTCCGTATCTATAATATGGCATACTGAGAGCTTCCTCATCTGTAAAATGGACATGCTATTGTCTATCTTTCATTAAAACACATCTTGCACACCTACACTGTAGCACAGCGCAGGGTCTCCTGCCATTTGCTAGGAATTGCGAGAATATTCAGTGAATCTGGGCCCCAAATGTTCAGGAGTGCCCTGGCTGAGCTCAGCAAAGCAGAGTATTAGAAAAAAACCTGGAAGCATCTCTGGAACTTGGCTGAGGCCCCCTTCCCTCGCCCTCTTTTTTTTTTTTTTAAAGATTTTATTTATTTATTTGAGAGAGAGAGAATGAGAGAGCACATGAGAGGGGGGAGGGTCAGAGGGAGAAGCAGACTCCCTGCCGAGCAGGGAGCCCGATGCGGGACTCGATCCAGGGACTCCAGGATCATGACCTGAGCCGAAGGCAGTCGCTTAACCAACTGAGCCACCCAGGCGCCCTTTCCTTGCCCTCTTACAGCCTCAGCTGGGACAGGGAAGTTTGAGTACAGAAAGCCAGTCACACTGCAGGGCCGTGCCTAGCTGCTGGCGCAGAGATATAGGGCTGAGTCTCCCAGCTCCAGCGAGTCCAGGTCCAGCTGGGAGCTGTAGTTACTGAACTGCTGAGCTGAGAACCGCTCTGGGATGTCTCCTTTGTCTCTCTGCTCCTGTTCCTAATACTCAATGAGGAACCGGGGGCCCTGGCCCGGGGCCTGCTGGTATCATCTCACACTGCTATGCCCAGTGATAGGATGGCATTTCAGAACGGCC